CAAATCATCAAACAACAAGTGTTGGCGAGGGTGTGGAGAAAAGGGGACCCTAGTACACTGCTGGTGGGAATGCAGACTGGTGCAGCCACTGTGGAAAACACTATGGTGTTATCTCAAAAAATTAAAAATTAAATTGCCATTTGACCCAGTGATCCCACTTCTAGGTATATACCCTAAGAAACCTGAAATACCAATCAGAAAGAATATATGTATCCCCATGTTCATAGCAGCACTATTTACAATAGCTAAGATCTGGAAACAGCCCAAGTGTCCATCAGTAGATGAGTGGATAAAAAAGCTGTGGTACATATACACAATGGAGTACTATGCAGCTGTAAGAAAGAAAGATCTCTTATCCTTTGAGGCGACATGGAGGAACCTGGAGAGTATTATGCTAAGCAAAACAAGCCAAACAGAGAAAGACAAATATCACATGATCTCATTTATTTGTGGAATGTAATGAACTAAACAAACTTATGAACAAAATTGATCCAGAGACATAGAGGTGGGGTACAGACTGACAAGCCTCAGAGGGGGTATTGGGGGGGGAGGAGATAAACCACAGAACTCACATGCATGTAGGCATGACCAGTGGACATGGACAACAAAGCTGGGGATGGGGGGTGGGGGATGAGGAGGAGGGTGTCAATGGGGGAAAAAGGAGAAACATCTGAAACAAAAACAAATTAATAATAAATAAATAAAAGGGAATACGGCCTGTGTGACACACAGTGACGCAGTGAGGGCACCCGTCAGCAGCATCTGTCCAGGGTCGTATGGTCTGGGTCCTGTTCCTCTAACCCAGGTTTCCGGACCTCGGCATGGCTGACGGTTGGTGACCCGGGACTGTCCTGTGCGTGGTGGGACGTTCAGCAGAATCCATGACCTTCATTCAGGAGCAGGAGCACCTCCATGGTTGGGATGACCTAACGTGAGCCCGGACACTGTCAGACGGTCCCTGGCAGCCTCATGGTCCAGTTCAGAAGCGCTGATTTCGTCTTCCTGAGCCTGCTGTCCTGAGGTCCGTTATTAGTACCCCGAGGCCTTGCAGCTCTTAGTTGGAATCTGGAGGCCTGGAGGTCCCTGCTTCCATGCCTGGTGCTGGGCTCCGTCAGCTTTCAAACGGGTTCCACAGGTGTCTGTCTGGCACCTGCATCGGGCCAGGTGCCTGGGTGCCGTGGGGAGCCAGGCCCTGACCTCCTGGGCTCACCCTCTGGGGAAGGAGCTCTGTGAGGCCCAGGAAGAGGGGACTGTCTGGGAAGTGTCGTTGCGGGTCCTCATTGTGCATCTGGGTGGCGGGGTGACTTGCATGGAGTCGACAGTCATGAAGGCTCATCTTTACCGGGTGCCCTGCCTGCCGTTCCCGTGGTAACCTGTCTGTGAGCTGGTTACTGTGATGCCCCTATTTTGCAGGGGAAGAAGCAGCCCCAGGGCGGGTTGGGGGCACTCGCCGTGCGGTGCAGGGCTAGGGCCCATGAGGCAGAGTGGCTCCAGAACCCCAGCACTGAGCCAAACCACGGTGTCATCTGTTCGAACCCGGGCACTGCAGAACAAAGTGGTACAGCCCATCCTCCTTACCTCTCCCGAGACAGCACGGCAGCAGTGAGCCAGGGCCACGCTCAGACCAGGGCCACACTCAGACCAGGGCCACAGCGAGGTGAACAATCAAAACCTTTAATGTCTGCTGACTTCGTCTGCCCAGTGGCCCCCTGGAGGACCTGGCTTTGGAGGACCCGGCGCTGGGGTAGGGACCCTCCCTCGTGACCGGGAGCCGCTGGGGGCTGGGGCAGAGAGACAGGAGGGTGACGCTCCCCTCAGGCCCAGGGACCAGTGGATGGGGCAGGCCCTGGTCCTGCCGCTCGGTGCTGTGACCCTCGGCTCCTGCGCTGCGCCATCAAGGGCTGCGCTGACTTTGACACCCCTCTTAGCTCTTCAACAGTCCGCGGGGAGGACGGGAAGGATTCTTCCCTCATCTCACAGATCAGTCTGCAAACTGGGGCGAGCCTTTCTGCTGGCCCCGTCCCCCAACCCCTGCTGGGGGGGCAGACTCCGCGGGCGGACTCTGAGCTCCAGGCCGGTGCTGAGTCCCAGTCTGAGACTCCAGAGGTGGGGCGCGAACCTCGAAGTCCTAGGGGAGGAGGAGCGAGAGGGGCTCACAGCTGAGAGCGCGTCCTGTGTGCAGGCCGTGGGGTGGGGGGACCCCAGCCGTCTTCCCTTTTGCGTCCCATCACAATCCCATCAGTGGGGGTTTCCACGCCCTTTCACGGTGAGGGAATCCGACAGGACCCGAATCCTGACGGCCGTGGTCTCTGCCTCTCAGAGGAAGCCAGGGCTTCGCTGCCCACGGAGGTGGAGGGGTGCTCAGCGCTCGGCCCGAGTCCGGCGAGGCCAGGCCGGCTGGGAACCCGGTGCACCCAGCACGGCGGTGGCTGTCCAAGGAGACGCCGGGAAGGTCAGCTCAGGGACCCGGGACAGCAGGAAATGCAGACCCTCAGAGGTTCCATGCGAACGAGAATGAGCCAGTGCAGGTCAGGGCCCGGAGTCGGTCAGTCCCTGAGGACGCTCCAGCGCGTGACAGCAGTGCGTGACCCTGACACAGTAATCGCAGCCGATGGAGACGTGGGCAGTGACCTGCGGCTCAGGGAGGCTCGGGGAGGCACGGAGACCCTGGCGAACAGCCCCGAGGGGGTGCAAGCTGCTCCAGAACCCACACCCTTTCAAGTCCCATCTTTATTTTCCCTTCGGTCACGTTAAAAACGAGGTGCCTTTTTCATGGGAACATGTGCAGGCCTTGGGAAGAACAGGGTTCTTTTTGATTCTGCCTCTGCAGCTCCCACTGGACCTGGTGGTCGGGTGCAAGGGGCATGAGCCACACCTCACTTAGTCGCTGCTCGAGACCTCCAGTGCTTGTGGTCACAGTGTTCTGCCTGTGACCCTCCGCAGAGGAGGGGAGACTTGAAACAGCCGATCGGCTCCCCCAGGGGACCAGAGAGGACGGGCCCAGCCTGCAGTGTCCCTTCCTCTCTCCATGCCTCACCCAGGGCTGTCCCTTCATTTAGGTCCCCCCCCAGCTCTCCACAGCTCAGACCAATCCCTAAAGCCCCGCTCAAATGCTGCCTCCTGCAGGAAGCCCTCTCTGGTCCACACGCGAGTTCAGAATCCAGCTCTCCCTCCTGGGGCCCCCTCAGCACTGCTCCGCTCTTTCTGAACAGCTTCTGCAGTTGTAGTTTACGTTAAGATGAGAGAAGGTCAGGAGTCCGGAGACAGCAGAGCTGGTTCTCAGTATAACCAAATCTGGACACATGTGCTGTTTTTAAATACAAAACCCCAGCTTTGGGGCATGTAAAAGAAAACCTTAAAGGGATTCATCTTCGTCTTGCGACAGCCCCAGAGGATCGCCCGGTGTTACGGTTGTGGGCCCAACAGCGACGTCCTACTTTGGAAGTGGAAGCGTCTCCCTGTTGCTCTCAGAGGTTCTCGGTTGTTTGAATCTCCCCCTCGTTTGGATGGGATTTTCTCTCCAGAGATGCCTGCGTCTCTCAGGATGGAGGGGGATAGAGAGAGAAGGGGCGGACAGAGCCTTAGGTACTTCGGAAGCTATGCCTGGGGATTCAAGGGCCTCCTCCCTCCCCCACTCCCGCTCCCCTCCCCCTTCTCATCCAGACCAGACCTGCCCTCTGGGCCTGGCCCCTCCGCCACTACGAGGAGGTATTTTAACCCTGACGGCTTCCCAGCAAGGCTCGGGCAGAGGGACTGCACACTGGGCCTCATCCCTGCAGGTGGACACAGGGCAGGAGGCCGTAGCCGCCAAGTTCACTCTTATAAAATATGGCGCTGCCGCTGGTATTCCAGCATTATCAGGACTTGCTCAAAGGGCAACACTGGGCATCGCTTGTGCGCACACATACATAGGCGCGCACACACACATGCACATACACACACACACATGCATACACACATACATGCACACACATGCACACGCATACGCACATGCACACACACACACACATAATTGTGATCCGTCCAAGGCCGTGGACTGTGTGGTACTCACCTGGGATCATCCACACTGCCCTGTCCGTGACAGGGATGCCCATTTCACTTAAACCAGGCTGTAGGTCCACACTCTGACCCCACACACTCATGTCAGTCACGACGGGCGAAACCCTGTGACTTCCCGACAAGGCAGAATTGCGCTAGTAGTATTTCCAGCCCCATCCTGGGCATTGCACACGGTCTCTCCGATCCTTGGAGCCTCCTGCCACGCGGAGGCTCTGCCTGTTTTAGGTTGGGGAACCTGAGGCCCGGAGATAAGTATGACCCGACAGGCAGGAGTCGAGAGCCGGGCCGAGTTCTCCCCGCCGGACACTTCTCACTGCCTCTCGTCAGGCTCTGGGTTTCATTTCTCGCCGGCACCGTCCGCACAGTGACGCTGCGACCCTGCGAGAACCTGGACTTGAAGACCAGGAGGAGCGGGCTGTTGGCAGCGTCCGTCACGGGGAAGGCGACCCGTGCCCGCGCTAAATGCGGTGTCCAGAGTCACCGTCCGGTCCCGGTCTTTCCGGAGCTACTTCCTAAGTCCGGGCACTCGCCTGTGGCGACGCTTCTTTGTGGGACCACCTGATTAGTGTCCCCCTCAGGTGGTCAGCTCCATGACTGCTTTGCCCCAGGTTTCCTTTGCTCCCCAGCACAGTGTGGGGGCGCCCATCGGTGGGCATTCGAAATGAACGTACGGGTGAGTGGTGTGTGGGTCTCACCACCTCTGCTGACTGTGAGCTCAGGCAAGTTACGTCCGCGATCCCCTAGGCTTCGCGAGGAGCCCTGCGGTGGGCACTGGTGTCTCCACTTTACAGAAGGAGAAACCGAGGCTGTGTGTGCGCAGTAGCTCACCTGAGTGCCCCTGAGCCGGGCTGTGCTTCCCCAGGCCAGGGGCGGGCACTCTGCTTGGACACCCGCTGCCCCCGCGACCCCACTGACGCGGGCTGTGCTGTGCTTGCTTGCAGGCCGAGGAGACAGCAGGGTCAGGGCGGCCAGCTCGTGGACACCGAGGGCCACGCTGGGAGTCAGGCCCAGGGCAGGCTCCAGGACGGGGGCAGCCACCACCACCTGGGCCACACCTGCCCCCGGGGCTGCAGGAGCTAAGCCGCCCACAGCTGCCCAGCAGGCCCGCGCCCATCTCTGCCCTGCCCACCGCAAGCCCCTCTCCGCCACGCCGGCCCCGTCTCACCCCGGCAACGTCAGGTGCAGAAAGAGCCCTGGGCTTGGAGCCGGGGAGCCCGGGTGCCGGTCCCAGCTGCCGGAGGATCCCCTGCGCGACCTTGGACAAGCCTCGCCCTTCTTGTGCTTCCTGCATCTGCTGCAGGGGTTCGACTCTGCCCACCTCTAACTACAAGGCCATTGGGGGACTCCAGCCGGGCAGCAGACGTGCAGAGCATCGATGTTTATAGAATTGTTTACGCAGGCGAAATGTAACCGATGTGGGACGTGCCCCCGTCCAGGCAAGCAGACCATCACAGCTGCCACCCCACCTGTCCTGCTCCTCAGACCACAGCCTAGAGCCCACGGAAACATCGGAGTGTCCGCCCTTTCTGCAGAGGCAAAACCGGAACCGTCCTCACGGCATCCTCCGCCGGGCCTGCCTCTCTGGCCTTCGAAGGTGGCGGGGCCTGCAGACCAGCCTGGTCCCCAGGGCGTGGGGCTGTGGACATACTTCTCCCCTCATTCACAGAAGACTGCCTCACCCTGTTTTTAATTTCAGCAGGTCCTCCCCACCCCGGTGCTGAGATGGCACGTAGGTACCCACTCACGAGGTCGTCACTGACCATCGGTCACTCCTCAGAGTGCTGTCATCACAGTTCCCAAAAGCAAGTCCCACAGCAGAACTCTGACTCCCAGCCCCTCCCGGGTGTCTCCTCCGGGAGGGTGCAGAGCCACAAAGTCGTCTCATCAGGATGGTCTTTAAGCGTGTCGCGGACCCCCACTGACCAGGTGACTCCCGTTGTAAGTGCGGAAGCGCAGGTCCTGGCGGAAAGTTTACTCCAGGGCCACACGGAAGAGCAGCTGCTTCATGACCTGCTCAGGGAGCAGCCTGCCTTTGGTCTGAAGATGCCGAGGCTCCAGGGATGAGCTTAGACTTGGCGTCGGGCCTGAGAGCAGAGTCCCCCTCCTGCTTGCTAACCAGGGGTCCTCGGGCACTTGGGACCCCCGGAGCATCAGTCTCCTCGTCGTAAAACGGGGTGATAACCCACCATGCGGGTCGTGATGGTGCAACCAGGTCCCGTGTGCCCGGCACCCGGCGCGCACCCCCCTGGACAGCGGCCACGACTGGTCAGCAGCAGCAGCAGCATTCGCAGAAACCGTCTCACATCACTCATTTGGTTAGTTTTCCATAGAAGTAAGTCCCGGTGTGTAGGATTCTTTCAACTCTGTTCCTAGTGATGATCATACCTGTACGTTCCTGTCAGTGTTCACGTGTGCGTTTAGTTTTTCATCCAACTTCGTTTTTACTTTTTACATCAGAGCTCAATCCCCAGGGCTGCTGGCAGCGTCTTGTAGGTCCCTGAAGAGACATTTCAGTGCGCGGCATGGTTTTAGATTTTTATTTTCCACGTGGTCCTTGTCTTCCCCTCTGAGCTAGGGCGATGTCTCCATGATGTTGCCCATTAAGTCCACGCGGCTCGCACCCTTTCCATGCTCCGCTCCCGTCGGCCTGTGCTGTCCCCTGACGGAGTGACCAGGCTGCCTCCCTCCGCACTGTGACCCTGGCAGCGTGTAGGGTTTCTCCGGGGGTGGACTCGTGAATTGGGGCAGGAGCTGGGCGCAGCCTGAGAGACGCCGGACTTCCTGGCTCTGTTCAAGTCGACGCTGTTCCTCGTCCAGAATAAACCGTTTCTTGGACATGCCTTGCTCCAGCGCTGTTCTTCTCGGGGCTGGGTGGGATCGCAGGTCCTCTCGGCGCTGAGACTCAAGTTTAACGAGAAACAGAGAGACGGGTGGGGGAGGGGAGACCCACTGGGTGATGTGTTTCCTTTGTCCGGAGAATAAAACCAAACTTAGCAATTCAAGGCTCTGTCCAACTTGATCCCAATTTACATTATCATCATCATCATGTTATTAGTTACTATTATTATCATCTTCATTATATTCTCCACCTAAAGAAAAACACTCATAAAATTTCCTGGAGCCCTGGCTGGTTCGGCTCAGCAGTTAGAGCGTCGGCCCACAGACCAATGAGTCGCAGGTTCGATTCCGGTCAAGGGCACGTCCCTCTGTTGTGGTTCATCCCCGGCCCTGGGGGGATCGTGTGGGAGGCAGCCAGTCGATGTGTCTCCCTCACGTCAATGTTTCTCTCTCTGTCTCCCTCGCTCCCGCTCTATCTGAAGATAAATAGAAAAATATCCTCGAGTGAGGATTTAAAAAAAATGTCCTCCAATAGTGGGTCAGACGGCTCCCAGCCCCCGTGGGCGCAGACGGACCACGGTTTGCCCTGGGCACGGCCTTTGCCCTGCCTTCTCTACCTGGGGTGCCCCTCAGCTCCCATCGCTACGTGTCCAAACAGGCGTTTCTCAAGGGCCGGTTCCACCTCTTCCGAGACGCCCTCTGGGTCTCCGGGCAGCACGAACCCAAGCCGGGTGCACCCTCCTGCACAGACTGCACAAGTCTTCTGGGACCTTCGCGCGGCTCTGACTGCTGCCACCTGTGCGGTGGGGTCACCTGTGCCCCGGCGCATCCTCCTGGCTCTCCAGGGGTGAGGACAGCCCTCTTCATGTCTGTCCCCCCAGGACCGGCTCTCGGAGGCAAGAAATGATTTTCTTCTTTTAAACTGTTTTTATTTTCTTTATTGACTTTAGAGAGAGAAGAAGGGAGAGGGAGAGAGAGAAACATCGATGAGAGAGAACATCGATTGGCTGCCTGCATGCCCCCCACCCCCCCTGGGGATCAGGCCCACAACCTGGACATGTGTCCTGACCAGGAATCGAACCAGCGACCTCTTGGTGCAGGGTCGACGCTCCACCACTGAGCCACATCGGCAGGTGGCGAGCGATGTTCTTTGGAGGAGAAGGCGAGCCCGGCACAGGTTCTCCAAGGGGTGGGGCTGGCGTCTGGTGGCCTGCTTCTGGTCCGGCCTCTCTCCTGTCCCCAGTGCTGTCCCCAAGGCTGTCCCTGAAGGGAGCGCCCAACCCTCACCCCCTCTGCAGAGCCACGTCCCCGAGCCCCCAGTTCCTGTGCGTTCTCCCTTCTCCCCCATCCGATCCTTCCTCAGCTGCGGAGCCCCGCCCAGCACTGGCCAGGAATGCGATGAGACCCGTACCCCTGCCAGCGCTCGGGTTCGATTCCCCTCTGATCTGAAATGCGGGGTCACTAGGACAAGTCGTAGGGCTGTGGCATCCACAGGGCTCCTACCTCCACCAAAATATCTCCCAGCGTTCTGTCGGTAAAACTCGGCCGTATTTAGAGGTGATCAACCCAAAGCTGGATGCCCTGAGTCCCTTCCCACTTACCGGCAGATGCTCTGGTATGTCGCCCAGCATCCTCATCCCCGAATACGCCTGAGCAACCACAGCTTCCCTTCCTGTGAGCCGGCGGCCCCTCCCCACCCGCGGGACAGGGAGAGCCCCTCAGGACCACGTGCTGCCACGGCCTGTGTCCTGCTGCTGCTGCTGCGTTGACCACCAGGGCTCCGACCGCCCACGAGCCAGGACCCTCACTCCGGGCTCCTGCTACGACCTCCACCCCTTCCCGCCCTCTCCAGCCAGTAGGGACGCAGCTTTGACTCGTTAAAATCAGCTCTTTCAAAGTTGCTTCTAACCCAGGGCTCTCAGGCTCGGGCAACTCCACTTTCATTTCTCCTCCTCCCTCGCCTTCTCGGACCCCTGAGCTGAGGTGGAGCCAGTCCCTGGAAGGCCCCACACAGTGTCCCCTGGAGCCTGGGGTCCCTGCCTCCTGATCTACGCGGCCCCCGTCTCTCCACTTCCTTAAGCCCACCTGTCAGACAGGTCTGTACCCATCTGCACTCCAGGCACGGACTGGTCCACCTCCCTTTCCAGGGTCCTCGGCCCACGTACCAATAGCTCAGGAGGTGGGCCAGTTTCCATGGCCCCAAATCTCCAGTGACAGCTGGGAGGTACCCGCACTGGGCACACCGGCCCTCGGAGCAACGGGCACAGCCAACAAGCGGGAGCGGCCCAGCCAGAGCTGGCTGCGGTGGGGGGAGGCCTGGGCTCCAATCGGCCCCCATCCACTGTGTGGCCTCAGCAAGTCCCCAACCTGAGCGTCACGGTGAGCAGGGCTGGGCACGGCTGCTGTGCCCTTTCCGCGGCATCGACGGGGTCAGCTCAGGCTCGAGAGTGCCCGTGTTAGCCCAGCTCCGTGCCAAGAAGAGCCTCTGCCGAGCGAGACGTCACTTTCCTGCGATGCCACCAGAGCCCTTGGGCAGGGCCAGGGCCTGCTCCTTCCCCAGGGGCCCCGAGAGGCCTTGGGACTCCGTACCCTTCCCAGCCAGCTGGGCATATGGACCATGTCCACTGTCCAGACAGCAAAACTGGGGCCACTCTGCGGCAGTGACTTCTGCGGCTGTCTCGGGAGGGACCTGGGGGCCGAGATTCTGCATCACTAACAACCTCCAGGACCTGCCGATAATCGGGCGGGGGGGGGGGGGAACCACTGGAGTAACAAGGATCTGGGCCCTTCTGCCCTCAGACCAACCTGGCCACCTCCCCCCACACACACACCCCTGCAGAGGGGGATGGTTGCAGCAGAGTCCACATGGTCTGCTGAGCTGAACATACTTGCCACCTGGCCCTTTACAGAAAGTGTGCTGGCCTCTGGTGCAGAGGACACACCGGGACGGTACGGGGCAGGCGGAGAACGCACCTGGCCCTTTACAGAAAGTGTGCTGGCCTCTGGTGCAGAGGACACACCGGGACGGTACGGGGCAGGCGGAGAACGCACCTGGCCCTTTACAGAAAGTGTGCTGGCCTCTGGTGCAGAGGACACACCGGGACGGTACGGGGCAGGCGGAGAACGCACCTGGCCCTTTACAGAAAGTGTGCTGGCCTCTGGTGCAGAGGACACACCGGGACGGTACGGGGCAGGCGGAGAACGCACCTGGCCCTTTACAGAAAGTGTGCTGGCCTCTGGTG